GCCATCCTAACCCTTCAATACAATAGTGTACTGTCCGTTTAGGCGCACAAATGATATATTGCTTTGGTGGACGGAGAGAAGTATAAATGAGTGGCACTAACACAGATATAGTATATCAAGGGTACATATAAAGTATATATGTTGGATTATTATGCAAGATGAATTATAGGAGTTCTCAGAATTAAGGGTATCAAGAACTAAATGTAATTTTGATTCACATTGAAATCAAATGTTTTGGTAGGGTTGCTAGGCAGACTTCATTACCAAAATTTCTGGTTAATTTAACTTTCTGTTTCAGTTTTATGTAGCTTGCTGTTTATGGAGATTGTGGTTGGAATATATTTTTATTACATCTTATAACCCTTTTGCTAAGTAGCCCTCAATGAAATTATAGTAGATTGTTTTTAATAATTAAGTTTGAATTAACTGTAAAATCCTTTATACTCTGAATACATTTACACTGATCACCTGAATATACAGTATAGCTTATGTATGATGGATTAATGAAAACTGACCTACATATAAACCTTTAATACAATAAAATGTAATACATGCCTATCTTTAGAGTTGGATTACTGGGTTCCTCAAGCCTTTTCGTATATATAGCACAGCTTTCTGTGTTGTGCACACAAGACTTGAAAGCAAAATCAAATATAAAACTTAAGGTCTCCGCTCAAGCTCCTATAAGTCCATCCGGTCTTTCCTGCAATGGGTGCTGGCTGGGAAGGAGTCTGTTTATCTCCTCACATACTGTGGTTATGCATAGAGAAAGGTCCCAAACACTGCACACCTAGCAAAAAACAAGTGAGAGCAGCCTCAATCAGGGTCATCCAAAGCCACGTCCCCAACGTGTTTCGTCCCGCCCACAGCGCTTAACCATGAGTAAGCCCTGTGGGCGGAAACATGTTGGGTGCGTGGCTTTGGATGACATTGGCTGAGGCTGCTCTCACCTGATTACTAATGGATTTGCTAGGTGTGCGGTGTTTGGGACCTTCTCTATACATATCCAAAATCAAATATAGTCTCATAAGGAATTGGTTAATAGGAGTTTGAGCACAACCGCCTTAAAACCCCAACCCACCACCACAACCATCCCAACCATTTCCCAGCTGACATGATGGTGGATAATGATTTGATTTAGAATACAATTATTACATTTTTTTTTAATTATGTAAAACAAACATACATTAATCTTGATGAACCCAGAATGTTAAATAAAGTACAAGCACTTTTAAATATATGGGAAATATCAAAACTGTCTGAGTCAATTTAATACTAAACCTGATGAAACCTCAAAAGGCAATAAAAATGACAGATAAAAAAAAAAACCTGCATGAACTTCACTTGTAGATGCTAGATTATTAAAGTAAACAAAGTGCATGAATTAAAAAAAAAACTAACATTTAAATGCCCAGCCTTCTCTCTTCTCCTTTTGTTTCCAAATGCAGCAAAACACATTAAAATATAGTTCAGAGTTAAGGCACAGCCCTGGGACCAAAGACCTGCAGCTTTTAAATTTAGCATATATTTTTTTTAAGATTTTTTTTTTCAAATTTTCCTAAGAAGCTCTAAGGTGACGTTATAATACAGAAGATAAAATGTACAAGGAGTAAATATACAGAATATTCATTCTCTCACCAAGAGTTTCAAGATATAAGAACACCATCCAGTTAAAGATGATGTCATAATAAGAACTGGTATTTTACAATTAACATTATAGTATGTACATTACAATAAATACATGGTTGTAAACAGAGACAAACAAGACTGTATTACAGGTAAGGTCATCCGGTGAGGAAAATAATGAATGGCACAAAGGTAATAAAAAATAAATATGTATATAATTAAAAAAAAAAAAAAACACTCAAAAACAGCTTTCTGAAAATCCATTTCATTCAAGTTTTTTTTTTTTCCTTAAAGCAATTTTTTGTACCTTTCAAGCCAATTTTCCCATCAAGTCTGTTAAAAAGAATGGTGAAAAATGATTACAAAAAATGTTTCTATTTTGACAACAGGAACTAACAAGATAAAGTATACTGTTACAAAACCAAAGTATGGCCATACAGCACTGAATAGGTTGCGTTATTCTGGCAAATGACAAATTTGATTAAAAAAAATAAAGACACTTATTAACTGTATGGTGTATATATAAAGCCACGTGCAATGTTTTAACACACTTTGGCAAACAGGACAAAAGGGAAGAAAAAGAAAAAAAGGAAAGAAAAGGATTTTACAGTGCATTAGATTAGATCTACAAAAACAATGTTTTTGATACTCATTGATTGTCCATGAATGATTTTTTTTTTTTTACTTTTGTTTACATTTTGCATGATTAATGTGGTGACGTGAACTGTATTATGAAACAATTTCCATTAGTGCAGCTGTTAACCCTTTCAGGTCTATCTTTATTTTTGGAAATCATATTGCTTTTTATCATTGTATACATTCCAGGCACTCAATGGGCAAGAGAAGAGGGACAGTATGAATGATTAGCAGAACAGAGGATTTCAACATGTAAGACGGCACGACTCGAAGCATCTAAGATGTTGCTGGAGGTACAAACTGCAAGAGAGACTTTTCTAAGTTTGATGGTGTGAAACACAAGTAAGAGACACTTAAGGCTACTCCAAAGGCCGAAGTCCTTTGTAAAGAACTTTAAATATGTTTTTTTTTTTTTTTTTTAGTATTTTTGTATACTTTTAGTCAAAAAAATATTTTTTGGCCATTATTATACACAAACATTAGTCTGCATGCAGTAAGATGCATTACTACAGGTTACTGATGATCTTAGGACTAGACACACAATTTTTAGCAGTACGAAAAGCTTTGCTAGACAGATCGCTCTTGCAGCACTGATACTTCAAATATTTTTTTTTCTAGCTATATAAGTGTATGGTTGGATGCATACAATTCTGTATATATTTTATTTTATTTTTGGTTTGTAATGATAGGTTATTTGAAAAATTAGCTGTTTGAAAGAAGTATGCAGAGGTTGGATGTTGTCAGGTGTTTAGACCTGTGTGTACTATTTCTATATCAGATTATTACATTTGTGGAAGGTGCAGTGTGGACCGCAGCAAGTTACTGTGGAATTTACCTTTTTGGAGCACATTAGAATCAAACATTTCCTTTCTAGAATACCTATGATAATATGCATTTAAAGTGCATGTCAGGGCAAAATTATATATATATATATATATATATATATACATATATATCTATATATATATATACATAACACACACACACATCTCTGCAATGCACATTACCGCAAGTTTTGTTTCTTTGAAAACACTGTACAAAAAATACCTCCTGATGCTGCCAGAAATCCAGCGAGTTCCAAACTCCCAGCAGAGATACCTCTACTGCACTGAAATGTAAAGGAGTGCGATCAGCCCTACCTGAGGGTTTGCCTGGTGGACTACTCCGCATCCTGGAGGAGGGGGGTGTTCTGTAGTCAGAAATGGAGACCTCAGGTAGAGCTGACAACACTGATTAAGATTTTAGTGCAGCAGATACCGAGTTGTCAGCTTAACAGAGGAAACTGGGAGCTTACTAGGTATTGGCAGATCAACAGACATTTTTCTGTACTGCATATGGTTTTTGTTTTTTTTTTACTTTGCCCAGACATACACTTTGGATTATTTCATGTCTCTTCTTGGGTGAGTGAAGTCAACTGTCCTGTGCTGGAAGTGGCCTTTGTCAACTACCTGGATCCTGGTAAATGTTCAGCTTTATTGACAGTGACAAGCCTACCCTGGAACTCGTATGGGCCATTAATGAGGCATAGGCTGTGTACAGCAGAGGGTTATTCCCCCCCAGATACAGCCACGTGAGAATAGAAAGAACATCTTTTTAAATTTGACATAAACCATTTTTGAATCTTTTGCAAGCCAGCTGAATTCAGCCACAATCATCAAAGGTAAAGGCATTCAGAATGATGCATCTTTGCAAAAAATTTAAATTCTGACACATTTTCTGCATGGGTGAATCATACACACAATTCATTGGACAGTGTGATCCCTAGTCTGTGGTTGAGAGAAGATTGAGACATTGGTGCTTGTAGAACAGTATGTGACGGAACGTTGCCAATGCATTCGTACTGTGCTGATCAGAACGTTAAAAGAGGATTAAAAATTAAATTCTACTGAAAGGGTTTCCTGCAAGACAGTGTCCTTAAGAAATATACAGGCATACAAAATAATGAATCTCTACAGTTCGATCAATTGCTATGAAATTCTAAGGTGCAAAAAAACAACCCGGAGACGTCATCCAGTGTAGCACATTACTTGTACTGAAAACTTGCAAGTTACTCTTTGGAAAAAAAAAACAGTGGTGGATGAATGTACCTTTTTTCATTTTTTTTTGTTTTAAATAGAATACCTCAATATATATTTAATAACAAAAGTAAAAGCTCTACAAAAAAAAATCTTTGTATTACATATGATACAAAATGCAGAGGATGTTGCAGCCCAAAGAGCGGCAGAATTTCTAGTTTCATGTTTTTCAGTCGTTTTTATCAGGAAGACTTAAAATTAGAAAATTCTTTAATCTCCACAGCTCGATATCCTGATGCTGTACCATCCAAGATGTGTCCCGATAACAATATGCAATTATCTGTTGCCACACAAGGCCAGCACTTTAGCACTGTGCATTTCTTATTTCTGTTAATGCTTGTTCCTCACTGCAAGCAAAGCCATGTGATCTTCTTGCCTTCATCACTCCTCAAGAAACTTTTTGGAGAAGTTGATTATTTTCACTGTCTGCCAATGTTTCCTGTTATCTTTCCACTGCTGTGGACATGGATTTCGGTTAATATTCCTGAGTGCCAAACTGAGTAAATTAGGTCAGTTTTGATCAACAAACATCCTGGCAGATGAACGTGAGGTGTGAGCATGGTTGAGGCATGTTTCATGCACTTTGGAGACCATTTTCTAAAAAGAAAACCAAAAAACGTAAAAACAAAAAGGGAGATAAGAGAGAAAAAGCTTTCCGCACTGTTACGTGTCAGGGGAATGCTCTCCCTCTAATGCACTAGGTTCTGTCTGGCTTTCCTCTTCTTCCACCTGCTCATCTAGTGGAATCTCAGTAGATTCAGAGTCCTGTGTACAAAGGGTCTTTGAGTCACTACAGCTGGTGTCTTCTTCTACTTGACTGCCACTGTCCTTTTCTGTGTCTGATTCCCCATCCTCTTCCAGTGTTAGTTCAAACTGGAATTTTTCAGTTTGACCTTGTCTGCCTTCTTCCTGCTCATCTGGGGCAGGGGACGGACTCTGGGGAATTGTGCTTTGATACCATTCTCGATTGTCCTCCAGTGTGTCCAGTATGTCTTGGGCATCGGGGTGAACAAGATCTGCCCATGTTTCCCACAATGGATGAACAATGTAATCTATGAACCCGACCTGGCACAAAAGAGACCATTTGTTAAAGATTTATTGAAACTTCCCATCAACCTAAAATCAGTAAACTTAATATAATACATCATCCAAAAAAAACGAAAGCCATGGCAATAATAATAATGGTGGAGATGAATATGCCACTAAATATTTTATGAAATAATAACATTAAGTTTCAGTCTAAAGTAGATATTTTATGAGCAATAGTTTTCCAAAGATGAATTATTCTTCAAGATATCACTATCATATCATTTATTATAACTTCATATAACAAAAACTGGATGAAACTTATAAAAGAGGACTTTTCTGTTTACCAGTTTAAAGTAATTCTAAAGGATGCCATTTAAAAAAAAAAAAAAAAAAATCAAACGTAATACTTTGTTTGATTTCTGACCTGCTCCATGTAATGGCTTTGCACAAAGCAGCCCCAATCCTCTACTATTTGGGACCTCCGCTGGTGGTCCGGGCTCCTTCCCCCTGCCGAGTGCTCGCAGAAGCAAGCCTCTTGCTATGGGGGCACTTGAGCAGGCCAACTCCCAAGTCATGCACCTGTGAATGGACAATGGCTGCCACTGCTGTGTATGCCAGTGAGGAGCGAGAGACTCGGGAGAGTTGCTGCTCTCATGCACATGGGGCTCAGGTAGGTAAAAAGGGGTGCTCAGGGGAAGCTGCACCCGTTTTTTTTTTTTTTTTTTTAAAAACCTTCTGCATTTAAAACCACCTTAACTCAAACTCTCTCATGAGCCTGACAACCATCATAAAAGCAAGTATTCTCCGCACTAGTGGGAGTATGGTGATTGAACGTTTAAAAGACGTCTGCTACTGCGAGTACTGGTAACTGGGTTTTGTTGGTCATATTTGTATAAGATAGTGGTTTTTTGTGTGATAAAAGAGGCCTACATCATAAGCTAGGAAGAAGGGAATGGGTCCAGAATTGGTAAGTGTTCCTGGCTTACTCTGAAAGCCCAAGTGATAAAGCAATGCATTTAGATAGGTGGTACACTTCCAGAACCATGATGGGCAGTGGTGTTTATGCATAACTGAGGGTTGTTATGATGGAACATGACCTACCAAAGCTTGGAAATCACTCATTTATATGACCCTAAGAGCAAAACTAAATAGTCCTGCGATACAGTATTACATTTACATGACCTAATTTCTATGTAGGTGTTAATCTGCACATTTTACAAAGACAAAACAACTTTAATCTACCTGTGATTTTTCCACAGAGGCATTGTGCTTGTCACACATAGGGCTGATTTCCATTCCTCGCTCCCTTTCTCGATCTCCCTGACGGAAGAATTCCTCCATTATCCGGTCTGTCCAATGTCGGTAGAGCTGCAAAGGTTTTGTTGGATTGCTGAGATCTGCACAATGTACCATGTTTTTGAAGAACCTAAAATAGAAATGAAAACACCACCATCACCCGCTGTGATATTACACAGAAGGCACAAGGCTTCTTTTTCATTTACACTTTTCTTAGCTGTGAAGTGCAGTCTGGAAGAGTCATGTTGTGTGTGATTTAGTCATAGCTGGATAAATAAGGAAACAGTCCTCTATTACCCCAAATGTGAAAGAAACTAAGAGGCTGCTGGTAATTCTTATATACTAATGTTCTCTGATGGAAAGTAAGCACATCATTGTAGAAGCACACTCAATAATATCCAATCATATTAGGCGTAATGAAAAATAATCCAATCATATCAGTCACAGGAAAAACATTGATCATTTGCAGTATATAAGCACAGTAATGTATGAAAGGAGCACTGTTTGGGGGATTTTTTCTTTATCAATCATTGAGGCACACTGGAATTCAGATACAGTCTGATTATACTGCCGCCTACAGTAGGTTTGGAGACTGTCAAACAGAAAAAAATTGTAGGCTAGACTTTGCAAAACCCCTCCTCTACCCATGCCATTAAAGTCTAACTATTTTTTGCTAGGCTTTTTTCTGCTTGGATTTTTTCTTCTGGAACTTCTACCAGGAATCCTTGCTACTTCGCTGCTTACTTGAGACTACTTATTTACAGCAGCTCTCCTAATTAGCTTTTTTTGAGCTTTGGAAGCTGTATCTGAACCCTGCTGGATTGGACATGTGGAGTTAAGACTGGAATGTGACCTTCGAGCCATGGAACAGACCCCAGGTGTTACTCCTTCTCTGAAGACACAGTAAGGCTGGTCGGGTCAAAGCACCAGGAGCTACCTCTGTTTACCTCTCTGAGCACCTGTTTAAACTTTTTGAGATAACTACAATAAGGGCAGTAAGGGTTAAGGCTGAGGGACCAGGTGCTAACATTAACCATTGGGTGAAGCAACCCTTCCAAGCTCCTAGATCAGGTAGATCCTGTCGGTCCTGTTACTATTTCTGACTCAGAGTCCCAGCATTCTACCTCTGAATGGACTGTTTTTGGGCCATCAAAGCCTCCTTCCTTACCTCAAATTTGTGGAGGGATGTGTCATACCTTATTTGTGCAGTGCATTCTACTTTGCATTGAGAGGGTCAGCCTCTTAGGACTCCCACAGCTGCAAAGACCTTTCCACTAAACCCGTTGTTTGATATGTTCCTCAATACAATCTGGAAGCACCCTATAAGGTCCTGGGTTCCACCTGAGTGTACCTGAATTTTTTCCCTTGCACTGAAAATTTGTTGACAGATGGTCTGCTCCTAACATAGATACAGCCGTAATCAACCTTAACAGGAAGACCAGTAAATGTCATTTAATAGTTGGCTTTAATCTATTACACTGTGTCTGAATGGGTGAATTCCCTTAACAGGGACTCTTCCACTGAGGGGGTAAGTCCCTGTTTCCTGGAACAGATGGGAAAAACCTCTGGAGCGTTATGCTTTAGTTGTGATGGCTTATTACAAGCATCTAAGTTTGTATCTCATATGCTGGGTGCATAGGACACAGTGCTATGTCCAAGGAGTTTTTGTCAATGTTGGATTTCTGGGAATGTAGTTTACTAGACTCCTACCCTAACTTTGCCTACCATGATCAGTAAATACATAAGTGGCCACAGTGTGTTCCTACCTCAATGTATGAGGTCTAAAGACGGGTCAGTGGAGTCCCACACCTCTCCTTCATCCACTTCCACATGATTTCAGAGCCAGACTCCTGTTCAATTCAGAATGTAGGGCTGCCAGCAAAATGTCAGCTAATCACTAGGTTTGCCTCCACTTCTATAAGTGGTGGTTGAGTGTATTTCTGGGTGGGTCATTAGGGCAATTTGCCTCTCCAGCCCTTGGGTGTAGAGGACACTCTCTTTAGCTTACAGGCTAACTCATTGTCCCTAGCACCTACTTCAGTGGTTTCCCCATATCCTTCTTGTGCCAATGCACAAAGTGTTTCAGTTTCTGCTGCTTCCTTCGGTTCCCTACATCCTGGGACCCACTCCCTGAACAGCACTGTAATTAGAACACTTTTGCACTGTTGGAGGGCTGGGATACTGTTATGTGTGAGTGAACCACGGTCTGACTCTATGTGCTAGCGACAAAGGCTATTTTAATTTTTGCAAAAAAAAAAAAAAAAAAAAGAAAGGAAAACCGCTCCATATTTATTACTGTGAATGCAGACTGGTTGCATTACAGTGATAAATAAGGAGAGTCAAATGAGCTTTAGGCAATGGATATTCTGGTTACCTGTATTCTGTCATTATAGTTGTCGAGAAGAAGGACTCCGGAGCTTGTGACTTTCTTGGTTTCAACCATTGTTTTCAAATCAGCCAGTAAATTCATATGCTTTGACATATCTGTTGCAAGCACCTAGTAAAAGAAGAGAAATGAAAAATGTCTGATCCAGAACAAACCAGTACAGACACAATGCAACGATCCTCTCAAACTATAGCTATAGAGCTAGTGCAAATATTGGAGTTATTGGCCATTTTGTTTTTTTATTTGAATGAGGTAAAGAATGGATAGACATTGCATAATGTCTTGTCAATACCACATTTTGTTGGAGTGTACCCTAAAAACCCCTTGCTACACATTGACTGTTCAAGTTTAAAAGAATGGCTTGAACTCATGTCAGTATGTTTATTGTCTTAATCCATTTGGAGAGATCTCCCTTCACTTTATGTCCTTAAGATTAAAAGAAAGCAAAAAGGAAATCTCCTTCTAAAGGTTCCATTTTTAAAAATAACAAACATGTTATACTTACCTGCTCTGTGCAATGATTTCCCTCCAGTTCAGGTAAGTATTTGGTGTGTGTGCATGGGTGGGGGGTGGTACTGATCACATGCTTTTTTTTTTACCTTAATGCAGAGAAGGCATTAAAGTAAAAACCTTTCGACTTTACAACCACTTTAATTTGAAGGAAAATACCCTGTTAGATAGTTGGTGCAACATACATTTTAGACATCAATAGGTTGACTATGGAATACATATGTAGGAAAAATATAATGTTTAAAATACTGTTTCAGATTGGCACAGAAGTCTTTGTAAACAAGAAGATGCAGTATATAAAAGAAAAAAAAAAAAAGAGACTTGGAACCTCATTCTGACCAACACAGTCATTTTTGTTGCGCCCCAAGTGAAATGCCAAAATGAAGTCTGCCGTCCTTAGGTCTCATATTGAGATTATCCTGCTTGTCTGGTGCAGGGTTGTGCAGCTGTCAGCATTGTGCCTGCATTGAGGAATAATGAATACAGCCAGGCAGGAGGAATGGCAGAGGATGCAAACGCTGTAATAAGCGGAAACAACATGACACCAGGAATCAACTGACAAATGACAAGTAGGTCAGGCAGCAAGCTGCGAGTATAACTCAGGGAATAAGAGCATAAGAGTCCATAAAATTGTCAGTGACTTCCTTTCAGCTTACTGCAATTTCATTCATGTCATGTTATTTTTGTTTCATACAGTCCAGAGTCATATTTTCTAGCTGTCTATTCTTCATTGTCTTAGTTATATTTATACTAGAACTTCAAGCAGGCAGTTAGCTATACAGATTAAATAAATTGAAGGGAAATGTTTGGGCTGCCTAAGAGTTTGTATTTCTGTCCATCCAGTCCTGAGATTTGCAGAGCTCTGTCACACAGCACAGCCCTGTCTTGCAGGGTAAGTTACCCAATTTAGTTTTTTTGCTGCTGGCACCACTTTACAGATCACAGCCTGTTACTGGACAGTGAAAAGAGAAGCAACAGACTGATTAGGTCTTCTCTCTGCTTTCTAATACTATCGGCATGTCCCTTGTTAGCATATGAGCACAGTAGCACAATTAATTGCCTCTTCATGTTATTTCTCCCTCTCCCAATCTGAGTTTTGCTGTATAGGGGATTACAAGAGAGATGTCATGTACATATTTATTAATACAGAGCTGCATTGATTGTGTATTTTACAGTTGCGTGGAGTTCAGTTTTAGTTCGCTTTCTTTTCCAGTATCTGTTAATTCTTCACTCAGACTCTACAGATCTCACTATCCTAACTGGAAAAGTTAGACATGTACAATGCAGCTCAGAGGTGCATCCATAAAGAAGACGCATATGAAATGAAGTCTGCAGACTTTTCATGTTAAGCGCCATCTACTTTTTCGAAAATCAAAAAATGCAGAATAAGGACTTCAAATGAAAAAAAAGTTCTAAGATATATACTTGAAAAAAAATATATGTGGGGATTAGAAATGTGTGCTAGCCTTTAGCATCGATATGTACTAAAGCAAAGTCAATTGTATCTTTACAAAATGTTACACAAGATAATGGACTCAGCCCAGTGCAGCTTAGAGCAGACAGAAGGAAGGAGTGGGAGTTAAAATCACTCTTTGTATTTCATGTTTATGTATTTCCAGTGACAGGTATTCCTTACATAACACAAATGTCTGATATATCTACCCAAGTGACACCAAGGTTTAGAGCAGTAAACTGGGTCAGTAAATGAATCTTGACAAATACAAGCAATGTGAGATGTATGACAGAGGCTTCTCAGCTGCCTTATGTTATTTCTATATACAAGGTGGATGGAAACGAGAAGAAATGTTCCTGTGAAGATGCAGAAAATATACCGGCTATCACACCTCCTGCACGAGATGGAGACTATTTTAGTCATCACATCAGAGTAAGACAGCTGAAAATACAGCCTGCCAATAATGACAATGGTGTCCATTTATGAACAAGCGGTAAATGATCACTGCTCAGTTCTCCGAAATTCTCAGAGAACACAGTTCTCCTGTGAATGCCGTTTATGAAGCGGTGTAGATCAGTTCTCCGAACGAAGGGAGACTGATCTACAAACGCTGGAAAATGGCTGCTTTTACTATCATCACGAGAGATTACAGTAAAAGATCAGTTTACTAAACAGAGGTAAATTATCGCTGCTTAGTTTGCGGTTCCTCCGATTCTCCAGCTCTGGGCGGGAGAATCTGAAGGGAGAACACAGATCTCCAGTGAAGGGCTGAACATGTTCTCCGCTGATCTCCTGAGTGTCAAACTGTGAATGACCAGAGAATAGCTGCGTTCCTCAGAATCGCAGCTATTCTCCGTGTCATAAACGGACACCATAATTAGCTGGCTAAAACTCTGGACCTTTAAAGAGTGAGCCCCTGACTTCTCAAATCAACAGTGGGATCTCTCTGCCATAATTCCCAGCCTCGCTCCAGTTCCCCTGAGAGATTTTGGGTGTTCCGGTCCCCTTTACTTGTTCCTATAATGTTCTCCATAAGATAAAATATATTAAAATAATAACAGTGAACAGCATCTATTGAAAACTGGAAGAAAAGTTATGGCTGAAATTCAACACAGTAACTTGAGTGATCTAGGTTATTCATGCCGGCCATTATTGAAATATACAGCAAACGTAAGCAATCTTTCTACAGCTGCAGTAGGGCTGCATATCTTATGGTGACGTGGGATGTTGTTAGTAAAGTCCTTGCACACCATCGGACCCATATACTATATTATCTTCATTTCAGGCACAGCATATGATGTAACTCTGTATTGATCGCACTACATATATACAATGCAAGGTATGTCCCCCACACACAGAAAGCACGAGCAAGCTCAAATTCCAAGGGACGGTAACCAGTTTCTCAGGAATAACATATGGAGACAAAGGCATCTGCGATCTCAAAAACAGTGACAATATGTGTAAGATTCCAGATCACAAAGGGATGTGTCTACTATCCCACACATAGGATCCCTTTGAGTTATGCAATGAAGCTGTGCATCTTGACCAAAGGACCAAGAATTTAATTGTATGAACGTGGTAGGTGCTAAATTTTACAAGAAACCATTGCTGAGAGAAATAGACTTCATAGATTGCCTTACTGTCAGGCTGATCCAATAGCTTAAATGCTTTTTGAGTCACTTCCTTAAAAAAAAAGAAAAAAAAGAAGAGTAGGCAGATCAGGAGTTTTAATCTCACTGTGTACCGGTTCCAGTTCAGAGGCTTAAAGCTGAATTCCAGGTTTGGTTTTTTTTGCATAGTTACCTAGGTCCAGCTTGTAAGTATGAAAATCCTTCTCTCACCAGACATGGTGGAGACCATTATGTCACCACCCCGCCTCTCCACCTTGTCCAGTCAGAGAAGGATTTGCATTCATTGAGAAAAATGCAATGTGTTCTCTGAATGGTGCTCCATGATAAGAGACCTCCTGTGCTCCTGTGTTGGTGATTTTCAACTTCCACTGTGTGCAAGCATGGATCGAAATTTGGCCACTCCCTACTGAACCGGATACATTTCAATCAATGTATGACCAGCTTTACGCAGTTTATCTTTGAAGCCTTATACACCTGGACATGTCTAGAGCCATGATTAAGGCCTGATGGCTGAAAGGCATTGGCTGTTTTACAGCTGTTATTCATGTTATTTCAATAAAGGAAGAACGCCTTTTTGATTTTATCCCAAGTGCTGACTTTTCCTCCAGCGATTTATACTATACAAAGACATAGGCAGCCTCACAGTCTGAGCACCGGGTGGAGCTGGAAATTGAGATGGTGCAAGTGCTAGTACACCTGTTTCCAGAGTACACAACTCCCTTCAAAAGGAACCTATAGAATGCAAGATGGTATTCATGGTAAAATCCTTAATTTCCCTTAAACAACAATAAACCAAAGCATTCTCACTGAAATAGTAAGAATAAACAGAACATAATGCTACTGCAGGATAAGAAAGTGCACTTACTATGTCAATGACCATTTTCCGTAATGATTGTCTCTGCTTTTTGGTCAAGTTCTGGAAAATGTCACAGTTCTCTTCTTGTAGCAGCTTGAAACCCACAGCTAAATGGTGGTTCTCCAGAACAGATGAGTCATTGTACATCAAGGCTAATTCTGAGTCTGGAAGAAAATCAAAGAACATTTTAGCAGACGCAACACAAGGGACTGAGAGGGGGAAAAAATGTCAGAAACATGTCTGTGTTAATTATAGGATATGATTGCCTGATTGCTTCAATTGCAACGAAGCAGCGTGAATCCATACAAATAAGGACAGGTCTGACGCGATAAATGATAGCTGCGGTATCATGTGGAGCACGCACTTATTACCGACAGAAATCACTGAGTTGGATCTTTAATCATACTGGCCCAGGCATGCCGCCGGCTTCAGACCATCACACCTGTATAATGACTTGCACCACCATCTGAGCTGCACTGCTAGAAACACTCAGCACGATATGGAGGACAGGAGGGTATTAAGCAGCTAAACATCATCAAGCCAATGTTAAAGACGTAGTGCAAAATTACAAATGCTCTGATTTTAAGGGACAGGTTTTTCATGGTTTGTTTATTTTTTGGCCTTGCCTCTGGTTTTCAAAATTAAATAAATCATTGTAGTCACAGTCACATAGTCTTTTTTTTCTCTGCATACTGGAATCAGTCCTATTGTATTCTAATTAAAGGAGCTGTAAACCCTAACTCAGTGTCATGTATGTTGCTAAAGAACTGTGTTTTAAAAACAATGGCCAACTTTTTTCCTCTAAGAAAATATGGTTCCAACCGTTTCTTCATTCTTTGTTGCATCTCAGTGCAGGAAGCATGCATGCATGAAGACTTCTTGTCTACATGCATGCTTGTACTCCAGCAGCCCCTGCAAAAACTGCAAATCATATTATTGGGGTTTGTCTTTATTTTTTGCTGCAGACATCTACCTAAATTCAAAAATTTGAAGCCGATTTCAACATTTCAAATAAACAGTGAGGGATAGAAGCACATTCTGCACATCACTGGATAGAGGAAGGTCCAAAGTTTTATGATCCTTCAGCTTGTATGCACTTGACACAAGCACCATGGGCTGCGTGAAGAACACCTAAGCTTGCCACACACACTAATCAACTGGTCACTAGTTATTGAATTCACAGCTTCAACAATTTGATGTCTCAGATCTTGAAGAGTAGCAGGCATAGGTGGGACAAATACCCTTTCCTTCATGTACCACCACAGATACAAATGGCAAGGGTAAAGTCTGGGAGGCCACCGACGAACAAGATCATGTTGTCCACCTCTTCCAGTCTATCATCCAATCCATCTTCCTGGAATGGTGTCATTTGGATAACGCTAGACCTCCAAGTAGAAGTGAGGCGGGGCACCATCTTGCAAAAGTGGGTTTTTAACTTTGAATCTTCCTCTATCCAGAAATGTGCAGAATGTGCTTCTATAGCTTACAATTTGTTTGAAATAAAAATGAAATCTGCTCCATCTTTTTGAATATCCCTGTATAATAATATTGACATTAATACTTGTGCAACCCAGAAGCACATGACAGGGAGAGGACGTGAAAAGGTTAAATTGATGAAGACTAAGTAGGAGCTTAGAACACTCCTCTACCACATTCTCCACTTATTTGCAAGGCATGAGTCACCACATTGATTTTTGCACTCTAGGGTATCCCTCTGGTTACCAAGCGCACGGCCGAACTCTAAGAATTATATTTAGGCAAAGGGAACACAGAACATTAAAAATTCCACAATAAACCCTGGACCTTGGGCACAGAACTGATGGGGGTTTCAGAGCTGCTGCTCAACATCAGGAAGGGCAAACGGTAGCAGCTGTGAGACTACAAGTGTCACATTTGAAATGTATGCAGGGCCTTGTAGCTCCTTCATGACCAAAAGCCTACAGATTGGTTCTGGCTGGGACTATGTTTCCTCTATTGTCTTGGGTAACTAACCAAAAAATATTAGAATCCTCCTCTGCTGTCTCTTCCTTGCCACCTTTGTGAAAAATAAAATTGAGGCAAATTGCCGCAAAGCACAGGGGATTACAGAAAACCGCTGCAATAATCTGTACACTCTGAGCTAACCATAAACAGATGCCCCATAAATGGGAGGCAGTCCACTTTAATCACTTATTGCATTGGTTTTCATTGCCTAATAAATCAGGAAATAACAGCAGCTGCAATGTGAATCATGAGACATAAATCTTTAAACAGACTGGCACTGAGAAAGGCCATTTCATTAAGCACTAATAGTGAATAATAACTATTCGTTTTCCATTGTACTGGATTCGTTACAGCCAGGAGGTGCCCAGGAGTAACAAGTATTTACATACCACAGCCTGTTCAAATCTATGGCGGGCTGTAAAGGTGTCACCATATATCTGAGCTTACTGGTTTTCATACAAGTCTTAAAATTCTATATTTTTCCTTGAAACGTTCAATAAAAATGGCTGGAAACAAACAAAAAAAAACAAAAAACAAACAAAAAACCTGTGTGTGCAAGGAGGAAAGATCTACAGCAGAAAATATGAAATTTAGATTTAATTTTATCTTAGATCATGACAATCAATGATTTAGAGCCCCTCAAACGCATTGGTTTTTATGAGACAAGATTCTGAATAAAATGTAAATCATACATTCTGCTTTTGATGCCTTCCTCCTTGCACACTTAGACCCTAGTCAAATAAATCTAATCTATAACTAAAAAAGAAAGAAAGGGGCAGGAACTTCACCTTAAATGTTTCAGCACAAAACAGATAGAGGGCTATGTTAGAACCTCAGCAGCTGGAAGTAAAGCCTCCACAAAACTAGTAAAAAAGAGCAACATATGTATTTATCTCTCTATTAAATATGAACTATAAAATTATATATACCGTATATCTCTCAAAAAAGATCTATTCTTCCATTGACATGCCATGCAATGTATATTTGTGTAAACTTACTCGTGTTGATAAGAAACTGATTGGAGACGCCAGGATGGTCAACATCATGTATTGCACTTGCAAAGATTGCAGCGAGAATTTCCAGGTCTGTGAAAACAGCCTTAAAAAAAAAAAAAGGAGTGAAATGTTAATATGACAGCAGATTTGGGGACCAAGTACTGGCAGTGGTATTCTATAGTATCTATAATAATAATAATAATAATAATAATGTTCCCCCATAGTTCCAATATACAATGTGCTTGACATGCTTGTAGATCACAGCCTCAGACTTTACTGATAGTTCCACATTCCAGCCTTGTGTTGCTGATTTTACTACATCCCACTCCAGGGCTTTATTTAATGTAAAATAACCCAGTAACCTGTATAACAAAGCAGTAAATGAGTTTTAAAACAAGCCTTCACCAATGTAATTAGGAGTTGTTTTTAAGCATATTTACAGCTTGTTAAGAACATTCAAATCTTGCAAATTCATAGCCTAGGTACAGATTCACTTTAAAAAGTGACAGTAAACTCTGGTTTAAAAAAAGAAAATGTTATTCAAGTATGTATTCTTAACTCAAAGTTTCTTTTATTGCTCTCCAAATCTGTAAAACTCTTTTTTTGTTGTTGCTGTTCTCTGACTTCCTGTTAGAGGGTGGCTACGTTCATTCTCCATGGTCCCACTGTATGTAGGAACGTAGCTACCCTCTCTCACTCCTGAGCTGGACTAGGGATGATGGGACTGTTAGCAAAGATGAACATCCGGTAACCTGAAACATCCAATTGCGGTAATTTTTATTTGCTACAGGGTGTGGAGGTGAGGTCTCGGTGCTCAGAATTTCTTCCACTCACTCAGATTGGAGCAATAGCAAAGATAAACAGGTAATCCCGAAACATCCAAGTACAGTAATCCTTATTTGCTACAGGTCAATTACAGAATAAAAAAAATCTTGTGTGTTTCGCCAAAAGGCCTTAATCATAGCCTATTAGTATGGCCTTGGCCGAAACGCGCAAGTCTTTTTTTATTCTGTAATTGACCTGTAGCAAATAAGGATTACTGTACTTGGATGTTTCGGGTTACCTGTTTATCTTTGCTATTGCTCCAATCTGAGTGAGTGGAAGAAATTCTGAGCACCGAGACCTCACCTCCTCCTTGGAAAAGGCATTGCTTCCTTTTGTTATGTACTGTGGGATTATTGGTGTTCACAGAGTAGCGCACATGACCACAACTAACATGCACTGCTCCTTCCAAACTAACAGAGGTGACCTGGAAAAGGAGTGGTTCAGGAATTTGCAGAGGATATTACAAGGAGGCAGAAAAACCAAGTAAGATTTCATGAAGAATGGATTACAGGCCAACTTAGTTGGATTATTTCTGAAGAATAAGAATATCCTTTAGTGTCACATCATGTCAGTCCTTCGAGCAACAGGGTAAGAATGGCTTACCCTAAATTACTATAATTTAATATTTCATTTTGCTGTTTCCACCCTTCTTTGAACACTGATGAGAAAATTAACACAACTGAGAAAATCCAGAAGATGCAGGAGCTGCTGTGAAGAATCACAAGACTCAGTAGGTGAAGTAACAAGCAGCTACATCTTATTTTTCTATCAAATCATGATTTTCCTGCACTTGATGGATTGGAATCAAAGAATAACAAAATAATAAATAATTTTCAAACCTTCTAAGAAAAAAAAAAAAGCCGTGTATACTGCACAGAAAATGATTCGACTTTTCTTAATGGGTCAACAGGCTTTTTCCCCCACACTAAAAATAAAGTCTCACTGATAGCTGTAAAATGAAATAGTCAGGCTGGAAAGTATCTTCCTGAAGGAAGGGTAGGGTTAGAGGCTGCAGCAATATTGAATAGAGTGGTGCTGGGAAGCCCCATAACAGGACCCCCCAGCACCATCACTTATTCATAAATCAGCACACAAGGTTACAATGATGTGCATCACTCAACAGAAAACATCTTTCAGTGTTCAATGATAACTGATTTTGTCCTATTAATGTTCATCATAGCTTGGCTAGAAATGCCAACACTGAAAACATTCCAAGCAACGTTCTACCCAGACAAAAAGTTTTTGAATTTAGTACAATACTACTACTACTACATTTGTAACTTTCACCTTGTAGTTATGTCATAGTGGCCAGAATAAAAACGAAGCAGTTCATACCTCCAAAGCTGGCGTGGAAAGCAGCACATGAGTAGACTGAGCAACATCCGCTGCATGTATGTTATTATGGTAAGCCACATCGGCGTGATAATGGTCTTCTAAAGTCATTAAGTATGTAATCAAAGTGTCTGTCGGTATTTTAAATGTCTTCAACAGATCCCGTTCCTGCAGAGAGAGTATAGATAAAGAATTATTACAGAGACAGGTAAGCAAGAAAAGGTCTGCACAAAAACCAATGTATCTATATACCTGAAATATTGTGTGCATGACGACTGTGAGAGGTCGGTTTCCAGAATATTCAGCTACTTTAAAAATATTAAGGCCCCATTTGTTCACATCTTCAAGTTCCTGATGGAAAGTAAACGAGAAAAGTACAGAGAGAAGTTATAAGTAGTCACGTGGAGCTGTCGCATTCAAAGTCTGGATTGGTGGTAAGATTGAAATCTCTATTCCCCAGCTAGAGGCTTTGTACATGCAGTATGGAACGTTCTGTCAGTGCCATCCTAGCTGATCATACAAAGAACAAATGGTGTGTAGGAGGATGCCATGAATTAATTACCACAGTGCATGAAAAAAAAAAACTTGTTCTGCCAAAAATATTGGAAATCTGAATAAAAATAGCTTCAAGGATAGAAAGGAGAAAACATTTAAAACCATCCCCAGACTTTGAGCAGGCTATGGTGGTCTGTATATTCTGTGATTATATATCTGATGAACTAAGAATATAGATGAGACAATTAAAAATTAAAACCAATGAAAACCGGCATTAGTTCTGAATGCCTTGGTGGGTTGTGTCCCCTTTCTATTTACACGATATCTTGAAGGATCCATTGGTAAGCTGTGTTTTTGTCCCATTAATGTGTATGTAAACCTTGTAAATCTTTTTTTTCAATGTGTTTAGCATCATGCCTCATTGTATACATATTTCCTAAAGCAAAACATTTTGATGAATCTGTAGCAAAGCCCCCTATTTGGAGATCCTGTCATTAACAGCACTTACTGTTGCGGGCTGACAACACAAAGCCGCAGCCTTTCAATTAGCAGCAGCATTATAATCCTGCTGTGGAAGCGCCTTCACTTGATCACTGGACTGCCTATCAAGGGCTGAATGTTCTTCCCACAGAACTGATCGGCAGCCCACTGGCCAAATGAAGGAGCATGAACAACATGCTGACAATACTGCTGCTACCTGAGAGGCAGTGCCTTCGCATTGTCAGATTTCAATAGGAAGTGCTGTTTCTGGCAGGATTTCCAAGTAAGAGAGTACTTAATTCAGATACAGCCATTCTTAGATAGAATGGAAGCCCGTATGTATGCACCAGGAATCGGTCAGTTCAAGCTGGCTACTCAGTGGAATCCATAAAAAGGCAAATATTTATTGGCTACTACATTCTAAAACACAACTTGTGTCCGGCTAACACGTTTCGGCTGTAACAAACTTCCTCATGACACCAGGTACTATGAGGAAGGCTGTTACAGCGGAAACACGTTAGCCTGTTAGTTGTGTTATAGAATGTAGCCAATAAAAATTAGCATTTTATGGATTCCACCAAGTAGTCAGCTTTAAGTCTTGAACTTGCTATGGACTTTTGAGTGTGCAGATACTCCAGCCAGAGCAGTACTTCTCAGCCACCAGAAGCTGAATTAGCAGTTGAGTGTAGGTATTGCTTGTTTTCTACCAGGAATTGGTGCCTTGAGAAGCCTGTGTATACAGAGTCTTACAGTGTACCCAGAGAGCCTTTTTTTTCGGTTTTAAAGGAATATTTTGTGCGTGCGTTTGGAAGAGACACCAAAGACGTGGACACATTCATGATGCATGCTGATTATTTTCTTTGTGCCCAACTAGGAATAGATGGATAACCTCCATATGGGGAGCAGACATACATTTTTGGGGGCACATATCACAATGTCTCACCTTGGCTAGAGATTCTTCATTTTCACTTTTTACTCCAAACCTGGGGATATTCGAGTTTGTGAGACTAGAGCTGTGCATTAGTTTCTTCACACCACTAATCTGAGACATGGGTCTCTTCTTCTTTTCCTTCTCTTTTTGGGCCGGTGTTGGCATCTCCACTTCATGTTGTTTATCTAAAGAATAGGAGGCATTTATAGGCAATGTTGTACTCTAGAGGTCCATTGTGGTAAAGATCACAATAAGAATAACAAAATGCATATGTGCACAACTGATACACAAGGCTGTCCTTGAGGAGTGGAATTGCTCTTTTTAAACTAGAATTATCCTAGTGCGGGATCAAGTAGGATTATCTTTATCTTGCATATTGTTCTCTGTCAGGATAAAGACGGAAGCCCACCATTGCAAATCACAGACATCTAGGTGCACATGCAAAGAGGACACAAATATTTCTCTACATGACTATATTACTTTACATACTCTAAATGAAGTTTTTATTAATTGTATTATTAATGTCTTAGGGCATGTCTCAACAGACTTTGGGCTGTTTGACATCAGTCTGAGATGCTAAGAACACCTGCATTTGAGTGTAGTGCTTAAGGCTATGTTCACACTAGATTTGTCAGCAGGCGTCAGACAGGCGTTTGGGAAGCGTTTTTAATGCTTCTCAAAAACCTATGAAAATTCTGCACATGGCAGCACATGCGTCGCGGCAAAACTGGTGCCTCATGTCGAGTCAGGAGGAGTTGAAGCCTCCCATTCAAGTCTATGGTGCCGCTCCTCAAACGCCTGGCAGGCGTTTGCGGTGCGGTTGCGACACGGTTGCGGAGCGTTAATACCATTTAACTTCATTATAGGCATTTGTGGTGCGGTTTTTAACGCTTGGCAAACGCCTAGCAAATGCCTCAAAACCGCGCATAGGGTGTTTGGGGAGCATTAAAAACGCTTCCCAAACGCCTCTCTAACGCCTGTCAAACGCTATAGAGGCGTTTGGCAAGAGTTAGAAATAAAGTCAAGTGTGAACGAGCCCCTAGGGAATGATATACTGTCTGCTTCCACGAGTTCCAGATAAAGCACTGGTGTGCCTTGCTGCCCCTTTCTAGACTTGTGGGTATCGTTTCATACAAGACTACAAAACAACAAAGAGAGGCTGCACCCCTATATTGCATTACCTTTAAACTATTTTTTTTTTATAAATGAAACAAGTGATATACTCACAAATGCATGACAACAACAAGCATATCATAAAATTCAGATGGGACAGTCTCCAGATCCACACCATTCAACTGATAGCATGGGAAGACCTTTTATCATCCAATGGGGCATATGTGCTTTGAGGGGCAAACCTTCTTCTTCAGGGTCTGAAGCAGCTTACAGGCTCTAAAGTAGAGGGCTCGCCCCTCAAAATATATAAGCTGCATTGGACGTTGAAAGGTCTTCTCATTCTGTCAGTTGAGCAACGTGGATATGGAGGCAGTGCCATCTGAATTTTATAATATACATTTGTTATTGTCATGCGTTTGTGAGTATATCACTTGTTTTCATGTATCAAAACTTTTTTTTTTTTTTTATTGGTAATGCACTAGGCAGGTGCACCCTCTCCTTCTTGTTTTATTGGTTTGAGATGCTTCTGAGATCATTCACAATTTATGGACAGGTGCAGTTGATCTCCTTCTAGTGGGTCTTCAATGCCCATAGACGTGTGTGGGAATGCAGAACCTGTTTAAAGGGTACGCCTGTTCCTTTTGTCGTGTGTTTACACATTTACGCTTATTCAGAAAGAACTTCACAGCAATAAAAATATGAAAAGAGCAACTCACATCAACCAAAAATGTAAAATTAAATTAGGCCACTTATTAAACTTTGCATAATATCTCCATTTTGGCACTTTCTGATTGAAAAAACACAGCTTCTAATAATATTATAGCTCATTATTATTATCCATTAAACAGTAGCATTATTAGGCAAAGGCCTCAGCTCATGTATACATGGCTTCAATAATTAGGATATATCAGCATGAGCATGTGCAGGCTTTGATGTTTATGATTTCCGGCAGATCCACACAGTTTAGATAGATCAAGGGGGAAAGTCCTAAATGCAACTGTCACGTCAAGCCAAGCAGAAGCACAAACATGTCTGAAAGAGTTCACATCTGCTGTTACACTCTATGGGATTCCCTAGTGCCCCCCAACAAACAAATCTCCATCCAGCCAGAAATAACCCATTATTTATGCATCTGGCTGGCTCAGGATGGGAGCTGGACAGAAATCACAAAGACCTATCCTTTCATTCATAGAAACACAATTGTTCTCAATCAGGAGCTTCATTCACTAAAAAAATCCTCTGGTGTGAATTTAATGTCACCTACAGAGAACTGGAACATGATAGGTCATGATGTTCCCTGGCATTATCAAGGCAAGACTGAGAGAAGCGGCCTCTTTGTGCACTGGTCCTATTAGTAATAGGAATAGTGAAATTCATTGACAAACACAGTACAACCGAATCATTCTGTAAGATTTGATATCAAAGAGACTGTCAGAACAAAAATATGGGGGCAGCCAATGAGGACTTGTCTTTAAAAAGTACAAAATCCAAAGCTTTTGCACTTATCTTTGTGCCACTAATTAGTGAGTTACTGACCTGGAACATACATATGAATATTAAGTGTTCAGACATCTAAAATGAACTTGTTCCAGGTCAGTGGCAATCTAAGTAATGTGAAGGATCAGGTGATAGGACAGCCCTGGATGATGCATGCTCAAGAATTAGTCAGCAATACAGGCTACAGACCCAGTTTATTCTAAAGTGTTTGATTTAAAACCACAAATGATTAAGAAGGAAGAATAGAAAAGGCAAAAGGGAAGGGATTAGCCACGGAAGGGTAGAGGTAGGGAGGGAAAAGAGGGATAGAAGGAGGTAAGAGGGAAATAGGATCGGGAAACCAGGGGTAGAGGGAGGGAGAAGAAGGGTAGGGAGAGGAGGGAGGGAGGAGGGATAGGGAGAGGGAGGGAGGAGGAGAGGGGTAGAGGGAGGTTGGGAGGAGTGGGGTAGAGGGAGGTTGGGAGGAGGGGGGGGGTAGAGGGAGGGGGGGGGGGAGAGAATGGTATAGGGAGGGAGGAGGAAGGTAGAGGTAGGGAGGAGAGGGGTAGAGGGAGGTTGGGAGGGGAGGGGTAGAGGTAGGGAGGAGACGGGTAGAGGGAGGGGTAGAGATAGAGGGAGAGAGGAGCAGAGGGAGGGATAGGATGGGGGAGAGGGAGAGGGAGAGAGGAGGGGGAAGGAGCAGAGGGGGGTATTAGGTATTAGAGGAAGGAACAGAGGAGAGGGGTAGAGGAAGGAACAGAGGAGAGGGGTAGAGGGAGGAGGGAGAGGGTCAGAAGGGGAGAGGTAAAAAGAGGGAGGGGAGAGAGGGGGTAGAGAGAGAGGGAGGAGAGGGGTAGAGAGAGAGAGAGGAGGAGAGGGGTAGAGAGAGAGAGAGGAGGAGAGGGGGTAGAGAGAGAGAGGGAGGAGAGGGGTAGAGAGAGGGAGGGAGGAGGGGGAAGAGAGAGGAAGGGAGGAGAGGGGTAGAAGAGAGGAAGGGATAGAGAGAGGGAGGGATTAGAAAAGTAGAGGGCAGAAGGGTTGGAGGGGAGGGAGGGGAGGGGAGGGGGTAGGGAGGGATGGGGAAGAGGGGTAGGGAGGGAGGGCTGGCGAAGAAGGGTAGGGAGGGAGGGATGGGGAAGAGGGGTAGAGGGAGGAATGGAGGAGATGGGTAGAGGGTGAGATCAAGGATAGGAAGGGAGGAGTGGGTGGCGAGTGAGGGAGGAAAGAGGAATTAAAGAAGAAGAGAAAGAGAAAGAAATGAATATATGATTTTTTACATTTTAATCATAGATACACTAAGTGTATGGAAGAATGATTTGCTATACCGAATATTATGGTGATCATTTTGAAAATAAAATATCACCATAATATATATCAAGTTACTCTAACAACACATTTTGAAATTATGTCCAGATACATAAATAAAAAAATAAGAATATTCTATGGATGGAGTATTTATTTAATATACTGGGACCAGTGTATTAGACGTGAAGCTGATTGATGAAACAGTTTCTTCCATATAAGAAGTGTCATCTTTTTGATATATTACAGGGCAGAAAATATAAGAGAATCACATTGAAGTCTCCTTGAGGGTTTCAGTCCAGCCTTGGAGAGATTTCCAAGCTGATGCCGATATTGCAGGGGGATTCCACCCCCTCCCCTTGCGGCTGTTTGAAATCGGTATTTTCTGCGCTCAGATGTTGACAGTGTCATATTTATCAAATCTCCCTCCTACGGGCAGGGGATGCCAATGCTTCATTGCATTTCTACCTTGCCTACATGACATCCCAGCATGCTCTGCACACTATAAGCTATTTGCTTCAGAAATCCTGAAAGCCCCTTATGCTGCAATTAACCCCTACAATGACACTGGTGGGTAGTCACTTGTGTACTTTCAGCAGCCTTTTTATCTAAATGTCCATATATTAACACAGAAAGGTTCCTTTGAACCCAAACTGATTTATTAAAGCAGCAGAATGAACTCACTGATCCAAAAACACACCAGGGCAATTCCTATTTTTTCTTTTATTTTCCAATCCTGTGTTTGGGTATTTGAAGTGAACCTAGCTTCACTGGGCCGAGTGATCTCATTCTACGCCTTTACTAAATCAAGCCCTCTGACTCAGCAGCTGGGTATCATATAAAATCTCATATGCAGAATACAGTGCAATGCATACGAAGCTGTACACTTCAGCAACAGTCTAACTGTAGAACTGTACTGTGAGCTTGAATAGCAGCTATTCATTATATTCTACCACCTCACCTGAACATTGCGTACTTTGTGTCTGAAATTGAATACTTTTACTCATACTAAAAGGTTCTATCATTTCTCAGAATATTTGATTGTATCAAAATATATTTAATCAGATAAATTATTCCCAGCCTGGTTGATGTGGCCAACACACACTTTCATTTCTCCAGTTTTAATAAATCCATTATAATTGAAATAAAATATAATATTCGTACCTCATTTAAAATATGTTGCTAGGGCATTGCTAGGACACTTCCAGCTGTTACGGTTTACTTCCACCAGCACAGTAGTGAGCTCTCAAATGCTGAGGGGAGGCTCAGGGGAGAGAAAGTGCATATGAGGGGGTTTGAATCAGAGGAAAAGCCCACTCCTGTGATGGTGGAGGTGAGCAGTAACAGCTGGTCAAGTCCTAGCAACATGGCAGGATGGAGTGATGCCATCGCTGGTAGTTTTCAGTCAGGCTTTCTGAGGTACGTTAAAGGCCTTCATCTATAGCAAGGGCATTAATTAACATTGGTCAGAGCTTCACAGTTTGTTTTTATAGAAGACACCCCTGTCTGCATAGGCAGTTTTTAGATAAAGGTGAACTATGCCTAAGAGTGCAGGGGGATTCATGATAAGCACCTGGCACCCCACCATAAAACCCAGGGAAAAATGCGAAATCAGGCTTTAATTGACTTTTTATCTTATAATAAGGTAAGACTGAGTTCTGACTTTAGCACATCTGCAAAGTTTCCTGGATTACACCAGCAATCTATTGGCTGACTGCTTTTTGACTGGGGTTGCTCTTTATAAAATTGAGAGGACGAATGTCACTGATTTCTATGGTAACAAGAATAACGGGAAACTTTTTCCTTCATCTATGCATTAAACACAACATACTGTATAACAGGGTGGATAAAAATCAATGATTTTTTAAAAAAAAAAATAAAAAAAAATCAGATTTTTTTTATTTAAATCGGATTTTTTTTATTTAAATCGGATTTTTTTAAATAAAATGCTTTTTGAGGAAAATATATTACCATCCAAAGGTTATTCCATCATGGAATAAAGATTCGTTTTTTAATTATGTAGAATAAGGCTGTATATGTTTAATTTTTTTGGTAAATAAATTCCATGAATCCATTCACAATGTCATGCTCTTCCAGAGGTTTTTGTAAGATTATTGGGCAGTTTCTCTGCCTACAAGATATTATCACAGATGCTTGGTTTACTTTTGCAGTTCTCAAAACTGAATTTGACTCAGCGGAGATCACATGCCTCTTCTTCACAGCAAAAATGTTATAACATGAACAGAGTTAAGAAAAAAGACCTTAATCCTAACTTCTACAAACCTATGAATACAGAATCAACCCCTTCAGTGCTAAGTTTCAAGAAGTTCAGTGAATAGAATAGAAACAATATTTTTCTGATTGTTTGGAGTGGAATAGATCTGCACAAGAAGAAAGTGAAACTAAGTGTGAGGAGGAAGGGGCTGACAGTCTAAGTTTCTTAAATATATATATTTTGTTTAGCCAAATTAGTTAACAAACATGGATGTTTGTTTAAGCAAATACCATATGCTGTAATGTTATTGTTTCAGTTGAATAAATCTATTTAAATTATTATTATGGAAATGATTATTTTTCTCCTTCCTAAGTACAACAGAAAAGTTGTCCAAATATGAATGATTAACCTATGAAACTGGGGATAAAAAAAACTAATATGAAAAGTTGTTATTCTAAAAATCTTCATCTACTTGCATATTAAAGTTATACCAGCAAGAATTAGTCTTTATGTAGAAAACTAGGATTTAAATCAAGCCTTACTGACTAGTGATTTAAATTGTGATTTAAATCGTGATTTAAATCAGTTTGATTTAAATCAAATCCACCCTGCTGTATAATAAAAAAGCATTGCTATCAATGTATGGCAAGGCTCTAGGGAAGAAAGAGGCTGACGCACAAAACCTATGTCCATATCCTCAACACAGCAACCCACAAACACAGCAGCACATAGAGGATTGCAGAGAGGCCAATTAGGGAGGAAATCAAGAAAGTGTTTGGTAAAGGTTTCCTCTGCTTATGACATACAGGGCTGTCCCTCTTATGTAACAGGATCTAGAAAGACACTGAAAAACAAGGCGGCTTGCTGTAATCTGCTGGCAGGGAAGGGTGCATTAGCAGAATGAAATGAGGCAGGGAGGGAGGAAGAGTAGAATACTTGCTTACCTAAAAAGGTGTTTGAAATATATTCGGAAACTTGGTTGCCGGACCGGCTCATTTCTGATAGGTGGGTGAGCTCCCGATTGAGCATTCTTTTGAACTGTAAACAAAAGAAAAATAATGAGGGGTTAATACATACCTACATAATAAATATATATCTTTAGAAGAAACCTGTCCTAAAAGAAACACTAAAGCTGGCCATAGATGGGCCCATTTTTTTTTTTTTCTTTCGTTTAACCAGCGGGTTGAACAAAATAAAAAAAACTAACCCAATTCCCCCCATCCATACATTCAAGGTGGATGTGGACATCACTACCGTTGAGCTATTGTGTTCTAATGGCAGGAAGACTTCACAACACACTGATCAGAGCTGCTGGCTTTAGCCTGAGACACCGATCGATCGCCATTTACCCAACAAAGTGTTTGTATAAAAGTCTACAATCCATGGCGGGAAATTCCTGCAGCTAGCAAGGTCTCCAGGAACCATGGCAAGGTACCTTCGGTCTCCTAAACACTGGAAAATTCACACAGATGTGAAAAGGTCATTGAAGAAGAAACCATGCAGGCTGTTATGATGACATTACAATGCTAAAGTGTAAATTTGACAAAAAAAAAGAAAAATCGACCACGGCAAATGAAAGCTTTGCTGGACAGTTTGGCCTGTTAAAGGAAGTGGAGCAATAATGGATCTACTGGCAGGATCAACAGGTAATAAAACTGTTACAGGGGGGAAAGGATAAAAACAAAAACTGCTATGTAATGCTATTAACAGACTGCATCATATATATTATTTTCATATCTCATAATTAGAAAGGCCATCTCTAGGAATTACATAACAATTACCCTTGTAGTAGGCCTCTACACTGAAAGGGTTATGTTTGTTCAGTCTAGATGTAGATGAATAAGGTGCAATGCCGGACTCTAAAAGGCTCCCTCCATTTGTGCGACCATTCCCCTGAAGCCTCTTCTCTGAGGTGCTCCAGGCTGCGGTCTCCAATGTCATCAAGTATGATGCAGGTCAATATTCTAGAGTTAACAAGCATTTAACTCTTGCAGTCTGGGGCCCCCAGTGCAATGGTAGATTTTTTTTTTTTTAATTACTGGAGTTAAGCTTTTGGGCTTCTTTCACATTGGGCAGCACAGTGGCTAAATGGTTAGCACTTCTGCCTGGCAGTACTAGGGTCGTTGGTTTGAATCCCAGCCATGGCAACACCTGCCTGAAGTTTGCATGTTCTCCCTCTGCTTGTGTGGGTTTCCTCCAGATACGCTGGTTTCCTCCCACACTCCAAAGACATGCTGGTAGGTTAATTGGCTCCTGTCTAAATTGGCCCTTGTATGTGTATGTATGAATGTAAGTTAGGGACCTTAGATTGTACACCCCTTGAAGGTTAGGGACTGATGTGAATGTACAATATATATGTAAAGCACTCTGTAAATTGATGGCGCTATATAAGTACCTGAAATAAATAAAATAAATAAATTTGCAGTAAGAATTACACCCTCTGAAAAGCAATCTGTGGTGGATTTCTTTCCAGAGGGTAGCATTGCAATAGCTGACCGGGGTTAAGGAGATGCTACTGCTGCCTCCTGAACACCTCTCTTTTTTTTTTCCCCCACATCGTAGGGCCACACCACAGCTGTGAGTTGAGCTTTTAGCTCGCAGTTGCAGTACAGCCTCACTGAGTTTAGAGGGTGAGGTTTGACATACAGTACTGCAGGTCAAACTCTGCAGCCGTGTTAAAAATGCCATGGCTGTGAAGCAAGCATTGTGCCTTTGGCATGTATACAGCCCTGTTTAGCTGTATTGTTACAGTTTGGGTGTGTGGCCAGGGGGCAGTAAAACTATGGCTCAGCCACCTGTCTTTGCCACCCTATGTCTGTCTGTGTGAAAGAGTCCAAAACGCACTGCAGACGGTTAATCTAAAGGTTTTATCAATATTTGACACGATGTGTTATGGAGTTCATACAAATGGTCTTCAACAGGGAGAATTCAGCCTGTATTTCACATGCCTATGTTGTCCCCCCAAAGGTTCGAGCTAAAGCAATATACTATAAGATGAATCTAAGGTGGCAGCTTATGTTTTCACACATCGTTCACACAACTTTCACTCAGGAGTCATACTTTTCACATTAGAAATATGCGAATTCTGGGTGAAAGTTGTGGTAAAAAAAAAAAATGTATAAATAGACCTGCAAGGAAAATCAAGTAGAAAAGCTTTTGCTTTTCTTTTCAAGATGCCAGAATGCCGCATGTATGAGGGGTGTCTCTGATTACATGGTATGCTGGGGAGTATCTGCCAACCAACAAGATATGCACTTCCAATGTGAGGAACAAAATGGGGAGGCCTAAAGCTCTCAGCCACGATTGTTGTTAGTATAATATTATTTATTAGTACATTCTTAAAATGAATTCGCAACATATGTAACTGAAAATGACCAGCGGAAAGAACTCAGATATATCTGGACTTCATAGTACAATTAACAGAGAAAATACTCCTGACTTGTTCACGCAGCAAACCGATGCACTCCTACGTACGGCAAAAAATCTTTAAAGCAGAACTCTGGGCAAAACTTCCTTACATGTCCTTGTTGCTGATTTCCTACCTATACTGAATTTGTCATCCATCTTCTGGTTCACTCAGTAGTTGCTCTGAAATAGCCTATTCATTTTCAAATCAAACTGTTAATTCTCTCTGCTTTCCTGTTTGTAAGACCGTGGGCTGTTTTGGCACCTATACCCCCAGCCACTGGTCTTGGTACATCCCCTTTGGGGACACGCACCTGCATGCTTGTTAAATTAAACTGATAGAAAGAGCCGGCAACTCCAAAATCCATGTGATGATTTTTATTGAAGATACAGGAATGGCGTAAAAGCAAGCTAACGCGTTTCAGCACACAGCCTTGTTCACACCATAATGATACTGTGAACCAGGCTGTGTGCCAAAACGCGTCTGCTTGCTTTTATGTCACTCCTATTCAATAAAAATCATCACATGGGTTTTGAAGTTGCCGGCTCTAGCGGTTTGTATTGAACACAGTGGTTGGAGGACGCCATAGAGCCTGAGCACTTGGTTTGGAAAATATTTATTAATTACAGGTGTGGTTCTCTGTGAGCGTTGCTCTTGCATGCTTGTCAAATTGGAAGCATTGGCTGTCTCCCAGCCAACATGAATGGGACTGCTTGCACGCGGATGCACAGAAGACCTGTACCTGTACCACACATGGTCCTCAACCTGGATGTACGCTTAGGCACCTATGTGTGACCGAGGCCTAACTTGGACTGGCCACATTGCATTCTATTATTGGATCATACACGGACAACCTCTGGGTCTGGAACTGTTCATTTATTTCAAACACCCAATCAAGTTAGAGTAAAAAATAAAAGCTCTAAAACAGCAAATGTACCCCTTTAATGGGAATTCTAGGAAATATCTAAATTTGACTGCTTCATGTAGAAATATAAACAACTCCAAACTTAAACCTCATACAATCACATGGAAAATAAATGGAGTAAGACCAGACCAGTAAGATACGCCAATGCAAATCATCATGGCATTCTATGGTTGAACAACAACATAAGATTTCACCAGCTGGTAGTATTGTAGATGAAACCGGAAATCACATCTTCATGTTCCTGTCACACCCGAGAGCTACAGGACAAGACCCCTGGGATGTTTCAGTGTTGGAGAGATATTAGGAGAGTTAGGTAACCCATTGTTTTCATATGTCTCTGTCCCTGAGCTCAAATTCCTGCCATGACAAATATGTGGGGCCCAATTTTTGTTGGATATTAAAATGTATTTTATTTTCTAAGGAATATAACAGGTGGAATGGGACTTAAAGTGGAACTTCACTCTTTCAATCAACATTGACTATTTTTAATCCTTATGCCGCTAGTATTTGTAAAAAGATAAGAAAGTACATCATATTTCCTTATTTAAAACTTTTTTTTTTAATTCTTCAGTTACTTCCTGGTTTCCATGCCTAGGCAAATGATGTTATACATTCCAAGAAGCTTCAGGAGGGGAGGAGGGGTTTCTAAGCCAAGCATACCCTCCTGCCTGCATGCCTGAGCTAACAGCAGATGGACTCCAGGAAGTAAATGCTACATGAGTCATCTGCCCCTACTTAAGATTGCTGCAGCCAGAATGCTGGGGGGGGGGGTTCAAAGTGATTTCCCAGCAAAATAAAGCATAGAGACATATGAATGGATGGGGGAGTTTGTTTTGAATTTTAAAAATTAAAGAATTAGTGTTTTGGTTTATGGTGCTCAGATGCAGTGCAGTCCTGCTTTAAGATGTGAAATAAAGCAAGAAAATATGATGGCAAGGTCTCACTGCCGGAGGGAGTCCTTAAGGTAGCCTATAGATGATTCTGGTTTTTTCGAGGTGGATGGGGGAATCCTGCCCACTAGGTCTTTGTATTCTGACAGCAGGGAATCCTCCCTTCCGTCAAAACACACAGATCAGCACTTCTGGCTATAGACTGCAGCACTTATCAAGTGGGGAAAATCTCACAGGGCGGTTGTACAGAAGCTGACCAGTAGATTGACTTCTATACAACCACAGTGCCCATACATGGAATGAAATTTGGCCTTTTCCTGCTGAACAGGTTTATATATACAGTGAAAAAAAAATATTTTATATATTATATATATATATATATATATATATATATATATATATATATACAGTCAGGTCCTTAACAATTGGGACATCGACACAATTCTAACATTTTTTGGCTCTATACACCACCACAATGGATTTGAAATGAAACGAACAAGATGTGCTTTAACTGCAGACTGTCAGCTTTAATTTGAGGGTATTTACATCCAAATCAGGTGAACGGTGTAGGAATTACAACAGTTTGCATATGTGCCTCCCACTTCTTAAGGGACCAAAAGTAATGGGACAATTGGCTTCTCAGCTGTTCCATGGCCAGGTGTGTGTTATTCCCTCATTATCCCAATTACAATGAGCAGATAAAAGGTCCAGAGTTCATTTCAAGTGTGCTATTTGCATTTGGAATCTGTTGCCGTCAACTCTCAAGATGAGATCCAAAGAGCTGTCACTATCAGTGAAGCAAGCCATC